TCAGAAAATTAAGAAGAAATACAATTTATTTGTGTTTACATAACAGAGAGCTGCTACTGTTTGAGTGAAATGTTGGCTGACGTCCTGCTTGTAAATTTAATTACTAGATACATTTTTAAAGTTTTACAAGGAATATGAATACATTCAATCTCCATTCTATTGGAGTACACAGCAAACTTCTATAAATCAATACTTTATTAGGTTTACCGGATATGGTATTTGATGTTAAACTGTGCACGAGAAAATGTACCAAATTTGGGGTAGTTTACATGCTAAATTTCATTTTACTGTATACAGCGAGTGCATGATGGAGATACTCTCTTGAAAATATTATATCATTTTAGTCTCAGTGAGAATGATTGCCTTAGTAAAAAATTCTAGAATGTTGCACAATTTTAATCCATTACCCTGATTTAGAAGGGGAGAACGTTAACACCGGTACAGCTCCGTTAGTAAAACTTTGTTCACACTAGAGTTAACGCAAACGTATGGAAGTTTGCTTGCGTTGCAGCAACATGTCTGAATTTCTCTAGAGTGAGCCATTATTCATTCTTCATAACTCGAATTGAACTTTTTAATTGAATTGGGGGAGGAGCACGCATTTCTTTTGAAGAGAAGTGAGAAAGTTATTGACATAGTCATAGTTCACGATCGTTGAGTTAATAGAATTCTAGGGTCAAGTATACGAACATTTTGAAGAATGCAAACAAACGTCCATGAATATTAAATCAATATTCCTTTCTAAGTTACGAAGCAACGGCCGTAATAAGACATTTTTCAGCTCACAAGCTTAAAATATGAAACCGATGATTTTTTTTTCTTATCGCTTTAGGAAAGGTATACATCGCTTAAGGCTGTATCCAACCAATTTAAAAGCTAAGTTACCGTACTTCTTGGTAATAATATTAAGCTGTTTTACCAACTTCCTCAACATCGCTCTTTCTTGTATCCCAGAGTGCCCTTGGTAAAAAGAGGGCTAAACAGATATTACCCCATCTCTATTTCATGTCACAGGAAGCCCTGATTTTCATTGGCATGAAAACTTAGGTGCTTTGCAGAGAGTTTACAACAAGCTATTAATATATCACATGTTATTCTTGAAAGTATAGAGTAAAAGTAAATGCATTTTTACCAAATCATATTTAGAAAATCATATTTTGCATACGACCATATAAAAATTGAAAATTCCTGGAATCATCGTGAATTTCGAAAAATCGATCCCTAAATTTTACCAAGCCATCGCTCCGATGGTGCTCTTGGTGTTCTCAAAGCTATATTGTATTTTACCGCAGTTTTGTATTAATTGATGGTAGAACTACATTTTCAAACGTGCTTTGATGTTTCGTACACAAAACAATATTAAACAAAGTTCAAACGGATTAAAGCGAGTTAGGCCCGCAAACTTGAGTTAAATAGCTTGTTGGTTTAGATGTTGGCCTTCCAATCCCAGGGTCCGGGGTTCAATTCCTTTTACAGCAGGATTTTTTCTCACTACTAAATCAACTGCGCTCAAGCCTGTTTTCCACTAGGCGAATTTATTCGCGCGAAACTCGGTTCTGTCTCTGATTGATTGCGCCCATTTTTTGCTTCGCAAAAAGTAGAAACAAGTTCAAACTACTAATTTCGCTGAAGCAAAAACTCCGATAGATATGTGAATGCGCATGCGCATGAACGACGCTTTCGATTCGCGCGAATAAATTCGCCAAGTGGAAAACCGCGTTAAGTCTTATGAGACTTAGCTATCAAAGCATAACTGGGCCCTGTGCTAGAGTAGTATAGTAGATACTATCTACTGAACAGTATACCCAGTATAAAGAAGAGAAAATAAAATAAAATAAATTTGTAAGTGTATTTTAGTGACATTTTTTAACAAGTCACTAATAATTTGTAAAAATAGATTTAATAACATCACAATCTCCACTAGATTAAAAACCTCTATAGAATATGCGCCACACGACATCTCATTTATATCATTATTTTACAGTATTTTTGATGATTTTGTAAATTGATTGAGAATATTATGGAGACTTGTTTACAAGGTACGCTAAGTCCTGTTAATTATGCTAAGATATAATTTGAAATTAGGCAAATAGTTCACGTATAAGGGAAAGGAAGAGTATATAGCTACTGGTGAGTGAAACCACCGCCTCTTCAAGGACGCTTAGTATTTTTATTAGGCCTATTTCAAATTTGAAGTGTATCGTATGTGTCTTCCTCTGAATCATTCACGCTGCTTCCCTGCATCTCAACATGTTTTTGATTAACGCTCATTTAATTTGAACTCTGCTAATAATTACTGACGGGCGGATTGATTGTAGCTAGGCCCTTATACATGGCCACTTAATGCTATACGTCTAATAGATGGGTGTAGTGCCAATAGAGGGACAGGAGGGTAAAACTATTTTTAATTAATTTAGACGAGTACAATAGTTTATACTAAACTACATAATTCAAAGGCCCCTATATCTGACTCGATCCCTCTAGGTCCCTTACGGAAGCTCCCGCTATCACAGCATTGGTAGTTATGCCTTTGGTATTTACTGTAGGATCATTGTTGGTACTGACTTGTACTGGACACGATACTTGTTGAATCACACTCGCATAATTAATCTTTTGGCTTGAACTTGAACGTAACATCCAGGGAATTTAGTTCTGCGCCAAGTAACTATGAGGCGCCATCTGTTAACTTATTATTTAGCAAAAATAACATGGCTTTTTACGTTATATATTTATATATTATTTTATATAATATATAATATTTTATATAATATATAATATTTTATATAATATATAAT